TTCGACTGTACTTGTTGTTTTGCAAACTAACTCATCTCATAACCATTTTAATAGTTTAGATTTGTTTTTTTAACACTAATAAAACAGACCTCATTAGGTTTTCATAACAGGCAGAATATTCTAAGATGATTTTAGCGTTTATGTGGGTAATTCCAGTATTGATAGTACACGCGAAAGCGTTCGTTTTCTTGGTATTCATATTGATGAATTTCTTAATTGGAAGTATCACTGCAGTAAACTTGTAGGAAAAATGAATTAGCTAAAATATCTTTTTATTAATTTACGAGAGGTGCTGTAATCTCATCAACTTGTTAGTGTTTACTTTGCTCAAGTCGACTCTCGACTTAGATATGGAGTATGTCTCTGGGGTAATTCTACAGATGCTTCTAATGTTTTCACTGCACAAAAGCGAATAATACGATGTATAGCTAACATTTCACAAAGCATGTCCTGTAAACCATATTTTAAAAACTATGGAATACTCCCACTTCCATCTTTGTATATTTTTGAAATTTGCGTGTACAACTTTAAAAATAAAAGTTGTTTTATGACTAACAGAGATGTTAATAGTTATCAAACAAGACAAGTTGATGAAGTACACGTTCCTTATGCAAGGTTGCACATTAGTTCCAACGCACCAAATTTTCTGGGTCCAAAATTGTTTAATAAACTCCCAATTAAAATAAAAAAATGTGAAAATATTAATATGTTTAAAAATAATTTAAAAATGTATCTCCTGGAAAAATGTTTTTATTCCTTAGCTGATTTTTTATATTTTTAGTATTTTAATCTGTTTAGAATTATAGCGTTATATTATTTAGTATTTTTAATTTTATTTTATGTATTTATTTAGATTTAACCTTATATTTATTGACGAATCTTATACAATTGTAATTATTGTCTTATGGAAAATAAAGAATTATTATTATTATATGTTTTTCCTACGACCACTTAGGAAAGTGACACATATCACACTATATAGACCTATGGAAAGTGCCCTATATCACACGCGTATGAATAAGAATTTACTTTCCACCCAAGTGAGAATATGCTACTTTCCGCAGTAGCTGTCAGAAAATGTCAAACACATAATTTCTATTTTGATCTATGTAATGTCCATATTAATACTAAAATCGATATGATTGTTAAATTATTGTAAATTAGATCCTAGATATTTATCTTTAACAATTATTTTTAAAATAATTTTAAAATAACTAAGATATATTTGCTTTTTATTCTGGTTAAACACATAAGCGATTAGATCAATCAATTACCGTAAGGCCTGTTAGCTCAGTTGGTTAGAGCAACAACTTTGCAATTTGAGACCGTCCAACGACCGCGATCGAATCCTGGCTGTGCCAGAATTTTTTTTTTATTTTTTTTTAATTTTTTTTTTATTTTTTTTATTTGTTTAGAAATTATGAAAATTTAATAAATACGATTATTGTTGATTATTTTTTTAAATACATTTTAATTATTATAATAATCTGGTTTTACATTTTTTGATGAAATTATTTTGTGGTCGTAGGAAAAATATTGTACATCACTTGTGTGAAAAATGTCACTTTCCACACTCGTAATGTAATATACTATTTTGGGTCTATTAATAACAATATATTCCATTTTTAGTTTCTGTATTTTATATTTCATTTTTCACCAAAATCCACTGGTTGGGAAAGGTGTTTCTGGAATGTAGAGGGTGTCACACAAACTTTCCAGTCTTAACACCCCGATTTTCAAAATCAGCGCCCCAAAAAACATATGAGATGAATTAGTTTGCAAAACAACAAGTACAGTCGAAAAACACCCCTATTTAGGGGTGTTTTTTGCAATTTCAGGGAAGGTTTAACCATTTCTGCAAGTTTTAATCCCGATTTTCGTGATCAGCGTCCCAAGAAACATATAAGATGGCTTAGTTTTCAAAACAACAAGTACAGTCGAAAAAAATCCCTGTTTAGGGGTGTTCTTTGCAATTTTAGGGGTGTTTTAATACTCGCGTATTGAGGACAACACTAATCCTTTATAGTGCACATGTAATCTATGATTTTTATATCCTAACCTAAAAAAAACAAATGCTTTCTTACTGGAGTTTAATTTTCTCCATTCTGTATTACTGATTTTTTGTGGGAACAAACCTTTATTTGTACATTTGACAGAGTAGATGAGCTGTGTTCAGACCGTTGGCGTTTATGCCGGTCGGCGTAGCCAGGTATAGACTAAAATTTTCTGGTAGCGGCGAAGCCGCCACCCTACGAAAAGTCGTTGCTTCGTCTTCTTGTTGTCACGGCATTATTATTATTTGTTCATGTATGTGAAATTTGCTTCTAAGGTTTATAAAATACTACTTCTTGTCACGGCACAAATGAAAACAAACAAGACATATTCACACAAACATCTCCCACTACAGCAATTACAAAGGATTAGTGTTGTCCCCGATACGCGAGTTGTTCCAACCATTGCTGCCAGTTTTAACCCTCATTTTCGTAATCAGCGCCACAAAATACGCAGGGGACAAGTGGTCTCGTCAAGTGCGACATTTCTCGACCTTTTACCGTTATTTTAAATGGACTGAAGGTCCTTCCTTATACCAGACGTAATGGATTGGTACAGATGCCAACATAAAAGTCCCTAACGGGTCACGGATCATTTAAAACATTTACCCATAAGATCGGTAAAACAGACGACGATAGATGCCGGTATTTTGACAACATAGCCCAAATCACACCCTATTCTTTGGCGTAAGATAGGAGATGGAAAGAACGAATTTCGAGGAAGAAACAGGAAGGTACCCAACGAAGGATAACATTGGAAATATAATGATAGAGACGAAGGAGGGACGGCAGGCTGCAAAAAACTTCGGAAAAGTAATGAAGAATAAAGAGATAGAAGAACGTCTGGAGACAGAACAGAGATGAAAACACACCGACGTTTTTAGTGGGTATGGCATAGACCACACAGATAATCCCACACTATCCAGCCAACAACACCCAGGCTGGGTGTGCGTAAAAGCATGTTCCCACCTAAAAAAAAAAGGTTAGGTTATTTTATATATTTTATTTATTTAATGTAGGTTAGGACAGGAGAGGGGCTGAATAAAACATGAGGTTAAAATTATTATTATATTACACATTGAAATTATAATTTTACTCTTGGAGCCTTTTGTTCTGCAAACAAATCTATCATAATTAATTTGATGAGCAATTTGATTTTCTATTGCTAATATGGCAAGACTTGATAAACATTTCTGACTCATCGAAAATCGTAGATAATTTTTGATGAGTTTAAGTTTGCTAAAACTACGCTGACAGCTTGCGGATGTAGTAGGAAGCGTACGGTGAATTCTTGAAGCAATACAAATATTGGAAAAGGCATTCTGCAAATCATGTGTATAAATCTGTTGCAAGAGATTGAAAGCGCTAGCATTTTTTATATCTCCAAATAAAAGTGGACCTTGCTCTTTAAAAACGTATAGTTCCTGGCAGAATTCAACCGCGTTTAAATCTCGCTCGTATTTTCGTCCCAGATCTGATCCATGCTTTTGCAGTTTTTCATTTGACATATTATTTCACAACCATTTAGAAATGCGAAATTCGAATTTAACGTGGTAGCATTATCAACTTTTTTTTTAATTTCTGATAAGATTCTATCAAATACTATCATTGTTGCTTGAGAAAAAAGTTGAACTGGTTGAAGTGTTCGTGTTTTGTCATCATACATCTCGTCAAATTGTTTTTTGCATCTCGGAATTCATTTATTTGGCAGAATAGGTTCGACGCCAATTTTTCCAGCAACTTCTTTAGCCTCTTCTATCCAATATTCCATTAGATTTTCTATCATTTTTTGTAAAGTTTTCATCAGACCATCCATTAAAGAGACGGAACGCGCAAGGATTATATCTTGCTTTTGAATTTCAATATTCATTCGATTGATTTCGTCAAGAATATTTGCCCAAATCATCAAGTTCAATATCAATTTATAATTGTTTATTGCATTCAAGAGACTACTTGCCTCGTACTTTGCTTCCGAAGCATTAGAAGTTTTCTTAAGTTCTTCCAAGGATTCCACCACATCCGGAAAATCATTTAAGAGGGCTTTCACAGCAACATGTTTTGCCGACCATCTCGTCTGACTGCTTCTTTTAAAATTAATTTTAACAAATTTCTTCATAGTTTCCCATCGACCATTAGAGCCGACAAAAAAGCAAAATATTTATTGCTTCCGGGCATGATGAGGCAGAATGGACACCGACAAGATTTAAGGAGTGAGCCAAACACGGTACGAACTCGGCCAGCTCATTCCTTTCTGTAATCCTGGCTTGCACTTTGTTATAGGTGCCAGCCATATTAGATCCATTATCATAAGATTGGCCACGACATTGTCTGATATCCAAACCATCAACTGTCAAATTTTCCATTACCTTTTGACAAATATGCTCTCCTGTCTTTCCAGCAACTTCTATAAAGTCAATGAAACTTTCTTTTATTTCACCCACATCACCAGTTTTTTTTTACATAATGAATGACCTGGCTCATTTGTTCTATATGCGACACATTTGGAGTGCAATCGAACATTATTGTATAGTATTTGGCTTCTTTGATGTCGTTTAGAATGCTATTTCTGATTGTATTTGCCATTATGTCAATAATTTCATTCTGTATTGTTTTTGACAAATATGATACTTGTCCCTTTTTTGAGTTGAATTACGTTTGGATTGAAGCAAAATTAAATTCAAGAAATTTCCTTGACCAGGACAGGACAAGTCGGTCACAGACTTGATAAACCAAAAAGTAATTAATAACAAAACAGCTCTTAGTGTATGGCAAGCATTTTAACTCTATTTTGAAGCTACATTACAAGATCATTAATTTCAAATATGTACAAAGTTTTTGCTATTTGTTGGTATCCAGGTGATGATGTTTCTACCCATATTGCAAATTTTAGAAAATAACGCCCAACTTCTGAATTTAATGTTAATATGTAAGGTTCTATATATTCTTCTAAACAGTTTTAAAAATTTTAAATCTGGATTGTTACTATTGACCAAAGATGCTGATAAATCCATTTAAGGATTAACAATACAGCTTTGCATGCATGAAAGTTTACAAATTCAGAAAAAACTGTTCAAGAAGCGTTTGTAGATAAATTAGAGAAAGAATATCAAACTAAGAATAATAAAAAGAAAAATATAACAGTAACTATTGTTAAAAAAAGGTCACTAGGTAAAGCAATAAAAAAAATTTATAGTTCATGGAAAACCGGCTAAAAACAGAGTCGCAAGCAGTTTTTAAAATAGAATGGTAACTTTAATGTCCATGTGCAATGAGCCGAATGTAGTTAAGAAAGACTTTGAAAAATTGGTGGATAGATAACATTGCAAACAAATTGTTTAGATTATTTTGGTACTTACGAATAACTTGACTCGCCCAGTTTAATGATAACAATTGAAAAGTGATGCCTATATACAGAAAAAAAGGCACTATAAGAATTTTAGCATAATAAGAATCATAATTTTAGCGAGAGTAAATAATAAGAATCAAGAAATTATGCTATAAGATGTACTGTTCAATTCTAATATCACCAATAAATAAATGTCTACAAAACAACTATATCTTCCTCATTAGAAACATAAGTTCAATAAAAATCTGTATAATACACTGATTTTAGCAAGGCTTTTAAAAAAATTCTTACCAATAATTCTTGTAAAATACCATGAGCAGGAGACTGATTTTTAGATCTTGTCTATCAAAAGACTGTCAAGCTATTGCGATTGGAATTTTTACATCATTCATAGTAAATAATTTATCTAGCGTGTCTAAAGGATCTCATCTGGGATTCTTTTCTTTAATATTTACGTTGACTCAAGGTGATTTTGCAAGTTTTATGATTTTTATCAGGGTAACAAAAAAAGAACACATATAATCATATATAGTCCAATTAAATAACGAAAAAAAGCCCCTTCGAGCTTACATTAATTTGTAATTGGATGAAACAAAAAGGACCTTGTGTATTTTGATGTGATCTTTCCGAAAAAAAGAAAGAAAAAAGAGATGTAGCAGTTTTTCAATTTTTTTTAAATTAGAAAAAACCGGGTTTTCCGGAATTTTTCATTGTAAAAATGCTAATTATCTGGGCAAGTATCATTCCGATAGTGAAAATAAATGCACCATTCGAAAGAGGAGGCAAAAATAGTTCGGAAATTCATTGCACAGGTAGTTTTAATGGCGAATTTCTCGCCGCCAGAAGTGCTTTTACCAAAAAGTCGTTTTTTCGTTTTTTTTGATCAGAACCATGGACATGAAATTTACGATGAATTTGTGGCGAAATTATAAATGTTAGACATATGTGCCCATGAGAGAAGTTGCGTATTTTTTTGTTGGCTCTTAAATAAAATAAGTCCCGCGGCGAAATCTGACATAATTTTTCGGCAATTCGCAGGAAACCAGAGGCGTAGTTTTTTTTTAATTTTTTTCCCATGTGATTTTTTCCGGGTTTTCCGAAAACATCTAACAAAATAAATATATTTAAAAAAACTAACTTCGCCATCGAAAAGAGCACAAAAAAATATACAAAAAGGTATACTTTAAAAATGTTAGGATATTAATCCTAAGCCTGAGTGTAAGTTCCAACTTGGTGATAAGCTTGCTTTTTGTTCGCTAATATCTGGTAATAATACTCTCCCTAATTCACCCCCTTCCGAGTGAATTTCAACCCCTGAAGTCGACTGAACGACTTGTGTAGGGGAAGGGACGGCTATTATTATTATTTGCCGTGGCGCTTCGGGGCGACTTAAAGATGATTGATGGTGCCATTTGACTTACAGGTGAGGAAAACCCAGAAAACCTCACCCACCATCATCGAGCCGGTAATGTATGGCGAATTTTTTTAATCTGCATGTCATATCAACAGAAATTGAATTTCTATTAATACGCCACACATCAATTCCTACATCGAACCATGCAATTTAATTAAAAATCCACATGATCTGGTCTGGGATTCGAAACCCAGCAGTCTCAGACTCATAAACTTGCCTATAAATGAATATAAGCGCGATAGACCGCTACACCACCGTCCCGATACTAATTCCCGATGGTAATTCTATATTTTGTACAAAACTCAAGAAACGTCTTATAACAAGTCAGTAAAATACAATTTAATAAAATTTAAGCCTAATAAATTTAGATATGCAAGAAATTTAAAACTGGAAATCGCAGAAAAATCAAATTACAGTAATGTAGTGTATACACGAGTTTTGGATCCCGCGGAGCGCGTGTAATGGGACTTTTGTCGGGAGAATTCTACAACTTAGAAGAAACATACACACTTTAAACTTTGTATACACATTTAGAAGACATGAAATTTGGGTTTGTTTAATTTTCAGACAAAAAAACTAAAAATTGTCAATTTTAGGCAACTTTTCTCAAAAACCGTGTTTTTTGGTCGTCACTCAATGAACAGTGGTCAAAAAACTAGATAAAATATATTTGCAGAATTTTCCGTAATGTAATCGTATTCTAGACACAATAGAGTACTAAAAAAAATGTTTTGAGCCATTTGGTGCATTTTTGGCATTTTTGTGCCACTTCAAACTTTCGAAAAAAAAAATATTTTTTTTTTGGAAAAAAAAATTATTTAATTGTTTGATATCTTAGCCAATTATGGTCCGATGTCGGTGAAATTCACACACACATAAGATTTCACATTTAAGAGTAAGCTTTATAAGTGGCATTAAAAACATTCAAATAGTTTGGCCGTTATAGGCAAACAATGACCGCGGTGCATTTTGCCCTTCCTCCATATGCCCAATTTTGGGATTTCTCTTGCCCCCTTCTGGGAATCACTAGTCACATCCCTTAAGTTCAAAACGCATTTTTGTTTTTTCAAATATCTTAATTTTTACCAATGTTATAAAGAATTTAGTGTTTGAACATTTAACAAATTCAATTTTTCGACCTTCGTCGCCTCAAAATACTAAACAAATTTCAATCGTCCATACAGCGAGAACGGTGCATCGGATCAAAATTTCTCAAGAGACATAAAAATTAGCGTTTTTCCTAAGCTTTCAAATGTCGTAAACTGCGTTTTAAAAATATTGATTTATTTCCGACATGCGCCTGCGCAAAATTGAAAAATTGACAAAATCCAAAATTTCGGCACTTTCGAAAAACTGCTACATTTTGTTTTGCCTTTTTTCGAAAAGATCACCTCAAAATACATAGAATCCATTTTGTTTCATCTAATTACAATTTAATGTAAGCTCAAAACCCGTAATTTAATTCGATTAATAATGTATTATTAATTTTAAACAAAATAAATTTAAAAAATATTACTGGCTATAAAAATGAAATAAACATTTTAAAAACCAAAAAAATAAAACTTAATTTTAACGTATCTACCTCTTACCTTACCTATGTACGTATAGGTACCCATTAATAATAACGATGTACAAACTAAACATTAAACACTACTCTTATCGTATTATAACGTCACTAATGAATAAAAATATAAAACACTTTATTTGGTATAATAGTGCAATAAAGTTGTGCTTGCTTATTGCTTAAAAGTACCTATATTTTTTTCTGACTTGGCCGCTTTGTTGTTTGAACTACTGACTAAAATCCAGGACAATATGCGTCCTTCTTAAGGGCTCGGAAAAGGAAAGGACAAATCTATTAAAATCTCTTCCAAATACAGGACGGTTGGAAACCCTAGTCTCTGACCGATACTAGTTGTACACATCTGTAACGTGTGGATTGCGCATCCTCCTAAGATGATAGGCACCTACTAGCTCGAGAGCCAGCCTATAGATTTAATGTAGTTGGCAACGTCGCCAAGAGGTGCTTCTCTTTTATCGATCGGGGTTAGCTGATACTCGACTGAATACAAATCTTTTAATAAATGAAATCATCGGGCAATCGTAGAGGATATACTCGCACCCCTGCAGCCCCATGATATGGAGATGCTTCCGTACTTGGCAATAACCAGTCAGAATGCCTTTAACCAGGCGCAGATTCTGGTTAGTCATAGTCAAGTATTTATTTGCTATTGAAATCCGACAACCGGGGGTTGATAATTAATTTAAATAATTCTTATATCTTACATATTATATTCGAATTTTATTTTTGAATTCAAACAGCATCCCAGCGTATCCCGCCTCGAAGGCGCCGTTTTATTACTTCTAGGAAAAAAACGTCGACTGTGAGATTATCACGGCCACTAGCTAAAAAACACATGTGCATCAGAAGGGTTATATTCAGGAATTAATACAGGTCTTTATAGTCTTTATACACCAAAGCGACAGTCGGTCTTTGTCTGATACATTTGCTTATATGGGAAATTTAAGTATAAATACCCGGGTTTTTGTGGGCTGGGAACATTAGCTTTTTCTTCTTCGCCGAGTCGAGTTAACAAAAAACGCAAATATCCAGGTTACCGTCACGGTGACTCCTTTTTCTTTATATTCTTCAAATATAATTAAAAAGAGATATCGCTACCCTTACGGTGGCAGCGCTTTTGTTATATTTTGATAACGGAAATAAAAGATATCGACGGAGTAGAGAAATTAGTTTCTATAAACGACGACTTCTGCATAGATATCCAGTTATCCTTAGGATGACCACCTTTTTCTTATATTCTATATATAAGTAAAAGGAGATATATAGTCAGTTTGACCAAGCAGATACACGTTGAGTAGAAACAGATTTCGCTCCTAGAGCTGTTTTGTAAGGTTGTATCTAACGAGCGAATAAAATATTGGCGTAACTAATACTGGTGATACCTAGCTAGCCTAGTTAAACGCCAGATATTTTGTATCTCCGATTCAACGGTATAAAATGTTACTAAATGATTAAAAGTACTACTCTATAGGCGACGTTCGTAGTGGATTTCGTCACCCTTCTGGCTGACCCGACGAACTTGCGCCAGGTAGACACTTTTATCAGCGGTATACTTTTCTTTCTGTAAGGTTTCTTTTACGTAGAATTAAAACGATAATCGCACTATTAAAGTAATCAAACTAGTAATTAATATTCAGATATTCCGGGGGAGAATTTAGACAAACATTAATAGGTTACAGGTATCACTTTATTACTTTTATATTCATTAGCGGGAAAATTCGCGTCTGTGTGTTATCGTCATATTTTTGGTATTCATTGGTAAACGTTTATTGTGGGAAAAATTATAGGGCTTTTATATTGTGCTAAATTATGTTATTTAGAGAATCGATAGTGATGTTGTCATAAATATTAATTGTTCTAAAGTCGGTCAATGCTCTCCAGTAATAAATTAAGTCATTTAGATTTATGGCCAAAGGGCCGAATTGTAAAGTTTCGGTTGTCTGTAAGCAGTACCTGTCCCTTTCAGTAAAGATAAAAAGCACTTTCGGTTTTACTTTTAAATGGCAAACAGATGTAGATTAGTAGGGCAAATGCCTGGATTTGTATATATTTTAAAGTTAGTTTGCGGTTTAAAAAATATGTTTTCTGTCGTTCTTTGTAAAACAAAATTGGGTAGATAAATGTGTCATTTTAGCCGTACGGAATTTTAGTTTTGTGTATCGAATTTTCGGGAAAAAGGAGATATGTACAGCGGCGGGTAGAATCATGAATATTGAGGAGGGTCGTATTTATTTGTACATATCCACATATCTTTAGCGGGACATTACGTGGAAGTAGTCGGTATGTTTGTTATTTATTTAGAATAAATAGGTGAAATTGTGTTTGTGGACTAGCTAACGTATCCTCAGAACTGTGATTAATAACACTGTTTTGTCAATCGATAGAGCAAAAGAGCATCGTGCCGAAAAAGACGCCTAAGGCCACCATAGACCGCAATAGTAAGGGCCTAAAAATGGTATTTCCCTTGCGGCTAAATTAAAGCCTAATAGAGCCTTGGATGGATCTCTACTGAGATACCCCAAAAGTGGGCCTGACGGGCATCCCCCTTTATATCAGGTGTTCTCCGATCAACCGTTTAGTGTTGTCCATACAGGACTGAGTATGTCGGTAAATTACGGCGTTGAAATATTAGAGAAAGGCGTGACGCACGGTGAGGTAAATCTACACTCCGGTTTTTACACATATTAGAAATATTAAATTTAACCGACTTCAAAAAGGAAGAGGTTCTCAATTCGACGCAATATTTTATATCTCACAACACTCCTCGTGCTACCGTTGTACTCTCTTTTATTAGACAATGCGTAATTCAGTAGTTCCGTGGAAACGTGTGATTGTATATTAGGAGACAAACAAACATACCAAAGTACTTCCGACTTTTATTTTACCCTTTTATGGGAACTAAAAGCTCTGAGGTTCGAAATGACACATTAGAAAGCCTACATAAACATAATGTTAAGCCTAAAAATGGCACATAATCTAAATGTTCGGCTGTACAAAAGAATAGATGTTAAATAAACAGTATTCAAAATTAATCTCGGTGTTTCCTTTGTTCTTCCTCCATTACAGCTACATTGAACTCTAAACGTAATTCTGGGGGGTTTTAACATCACTTCGTGGGGATCCACTAGACGAAATTTAGGCCAAGGTTATAAGTATTTGCAAAACTAGGTCAGGGTCCGGTTTGTCAAGTTACACTATAGTGTTGTCACGATAACTTAAAAGATCCCAGGCAAGTCTTTAGCTTCTTGAATTTCACAAGGGAATGTTCTTTAATTAAGTTTGTCTGGCCAATAGAAGAACTAGGTCTAAAAAGCATTTGGTTGACTGCCTTCTTGGCTAGTAAATCAGCAAGACCGTTACCTTTCGATGTGGCGTCACCTTTGATCCATTTTAAGGTGACCACATTGTTGATGGATACTTCTGCCAAACCTTTGTTACATTCTGGTACTAACACTGAATAAATTTGTAGTCTGCCCAGGGTGAGTAGTGCTTGCCTGCTATCTATATAGATGAGCATGTTCCTTCCAGTGATATTGCTTCTGTAGTATGGTAAAGTATAAAGCTTTGCTGACTAAATCATTTATTTACTAACACAAGAAAAAATATAAATAAGAAGACACGTATTTCAGTAGTTTTCCATTTATTATTCCTTTTATTTAGTTACATTTATGACTACTTATAATTTTCATATTTCTTTCTGCCTTCTAGCATTTTCTGAGTTTGTTTACAATATGGATCAAATCTTGTTTGGTATTTATAATTTGAAAAAGCAAGCTAAAATGTATATAAAACGCTAATTGGACCAATATTGACTTATGGTAATGAAGTAGAAGCAAACACAAAGAAGACTCAAAAGTGCTGATATATAAATTTCAAGACTACATATTTTCTCGCAAAATTACTGACTTGCAAACTTCTAAAGGTCTGTTTTTATTGACATTCTGATCTCTCTCGTAATAATATGTACAACGGGATAATAATTAAATTGAATTCAACGAACACATTAATGCAAAATATAATCAGTAATTAGATTTAAATAGTTTTGTTAATAGGCGTGACATTGGTAAATTGATTTAACAAAACAAAAGCGTATTATTTGTAATGATTTCTCTTTTTCGAAATCGTCAAAAAGTTCGTTTTATCGCTAATGTTTATAACCATTTTTTCTAGTGACTGCGAGGTCAGGATGTGGGAAAGAACATTAATATGTGTTTTTGTTGAATAAAACTAATTTAATTTGAGTGAATGTTTCTCCATTCACAATTTTACTGTTTTTTTATTTTGAATCTTAATACTGTTTAAAAATTAATGAAATTTTTTCAATATTTGCATCCACCGGTCTAAAGTAAAGTAAATAATCTTCAACAAAATCATCTTTATTCCTTGTGGTATATGAATATAAGTCAATGTATGGTTACTACTTGGCATCATTCACTGCAATGAATAAAAAAAAAATTGAGAAATCGCCCTTGATTGGAAGACAACAAAAAACCGAAGGTTAAATATTTTTGGTTTCGAAGGGTCTAAGAAATAAAATACATTCTATTTAGAAAATATTTTAATTAATAAATTTCAATCACAAAACAAAAATTAACATCTGTGCTCACCAATAACTACCTTATATTGCAAATTAATAAGGGAAATGGCTGAGTATAAATTCTTACCATCTACATTTTTTTCAACAGAAAAACTAGAAGCGACATCAATATCTAAACCGTTGTAAACAGTTATGGTATCAAAAAGGTTGTAACTATCATATTTGCTTGAAGGTTCAGTATTTGTAAAACACTCTACAATATTACAGCTTGTATCGTCTTCTCCTGTACTATTTACAAGAGGTATTAAACCAGGAACATCATTTCCTAATAGCGGCATCTGGATTTTAGTCAATTCAGGATACTGTTGATGGATTTGCTCAATACTCTTTTCACTGGAATAGGTAATGTTAACTATTGTTATATAAGTTACATTGTAATCAATGTATGATCTCTTTGACAAATCACTAAAATCAACTTTGCGAAGAATTTCTCCAGCAGATCCTAAAATGAAAGGTAAATATTATTGAAATAAATGTAGAAAGGTTTTCCAAAGAAAACGCTTTTGGTAGTTCAAAGGAATTTTGTTTGCAGACACATGTCACTTGTTCATATGTTCCGGTTCTCCAGTGTAGGCAATTACAGGCGGAACAATGAAACAAATTGTATTTGCAATGGAACAAATTGTATCTTAAGCACGTTTCAGTCCACCAGGTTCAAAAGCTGTAAAATAACATTAACAGAAGGTAGTGGAAGTAACTGTTGTTATAAATCCATTTTATTCATAAGTAATGCTTTCCTTCTACCTTATATTAAGTTCAAGTCTAGTTATTGACGATCTAAGATAAATGTAATGTCAAATGTCAAAAGAGACTAAGAAGGTTGTTGTGTGTCTATGATGTAGATGTAACGCTGTTTGCATATTCATTGTCTTTATTAAATAAACGTTATATAAGTGATCTACTGCGTATTAATACATTAAACAAAAATTACAGCAGGTTATGGACTCAGAAATTCAAGATTAAAAAGTGACAAAAAGTTATTCAAAAGCCGTTAAGAAAAGTAAAAGAAAATAGCGTCAGAGAAACCTTAAAATAATTTTAATATAGAATTATTCAACTCAAACAATTACCATATATGGAAATTCAGAATGAATGTTCTATTTGAAGAAAAAAATGTATTACAAAGTATTAAATGCGAATATGAAGAAGAAAACTATAAAAATGAGGCAAGGAAGAAAGAAGCAAAGAGTAATGATATCAAATGCAAATCGTTCATTGTGCAATGTTTGGATGATGGCCAAATCGATTTAATACGTAATAAAAATACAGCTTTTAGCATGTGGAGAAGCTTAGAAGAAAGCTACGAAAAGAAGGGCATTCCGGGGCAGATGATTCTAAGAAAAAAATTAATGACCATGAAACTGTAAAAGCCAAATAATGAATTAGAGCATTTCTTGTCCGAATTCAAAGAAATTATTAGACAACTCAAAGTAACAGGAGCTGAAATTAAGGATGAAGATTTAGTATGTACGTTACTTCTTGCTATGCCTCCAGCTTTTGAAACTGTAATTACAATATTAGAAAACATGAATACTGAGGACTTAACATTTGAAATCGCGAAAACAAAATTAAGAAGTGAGGTTGAAAGAAGAAAAGCAGTAAATAATGACAGCAATGAAGTTGGAGACAATATTAAGCCAGCAGCCTTTACCGTAGCCAATAGAGAAGGGAAATTGTTTTATATGTGGAGGAAGAGGACACTACAAAAGATAATGTAGGCGCAGAAATGTGTATAGAGATGGTTTTCGAGGTCATAGTAGAGGAACATTTGGAAACAATAGAAGTTTTTCTTTTGGAAATAGAGAATTCAGAGGTCAAAATTACAGAGAAGGTTATAGAGGTGATTTTAGAGGTAATTTCAGAGGTAGCATTATATGGGCTAAAACAGGCAAATAAGTGTTGGAATCAGAAAATAAATGAATTCTTGATAAGTTTAAAATTCAGAAGATCTAAAACGGACTATTGTTTATATGTGAAAGGAGATGACAAGGAGACTATGTATCTATTACTATATGTAGATGACATAATAATTTCAGGACCGGATTTGACACATATAGAAGAATGTAAAAGACAATTAATAAGCAGTTTTGAAATTAAAGATAAAGGTAATCTTAGAAATTTTCTAGGATTAGAAATAAAGTATGAAAGAGAAAAGGAATATTGCAGATAAATTAAGAGAAATATATAGAAGGAATACTTAAAAGGTTTAATTTTGAAAACTGTAACCCCTGCACCACCCTTATGGATCCCAAAAATAAATTAGGAGTTGTAGAAGATGACAAACAAGAAAATAAACCAATAAAACAATTAATAGGATGCCTCATGTATTTAATGTTAGGATCACGTCCGGATATTAGTTTTACAGTGAATTATTATAGTAGATTCCAAGATGTTAATTCCGAAAAAGTATGGATAGGATTAAAAAGATTGTTACGGTATCTTAAAGGTACATGTAAAAAGAATTTAGAATTTAATAGAAATGTAAGTGAGTTACCAATTAAGTGTTATGTAGATTCAGATTAGGCAGGAGATATATATGTGACAGGAAATCTGTTACTGGATTTTTAATTAAAGTTTTTGATAATAGTGTAGTTTGGGTCACAAGAAAACAAACTTGTATTTCACTTTCGAGCTCAGAAGCCGAGTTAGTGGCAATGTGTTCAGCAGTTTGTGAATGTTTATTTATTAAATGATATGAATATTGATGTGTCAAATTTTAAAGTTTTTAAAGACAACCAAGGTTGTATTGCATTAATAAAGAACCCTGAAAATAATAAGAGGATCAAGCATATTGACATAAAATATAATTTTGTTTGTGAATGCATGAATAATAAAAGCATGGTTTTAGAATATATAAATTCAATTAGCTGACATTTTGACCAAAGGACTAAACAAGAATCAGTTATGCTCAAATAGATTAGGAATAGGTTTGAAATAAGAGAGGGTTATTAGTTTTAAGTTAAAGATTAAGATTTTTCTTTTCTGTTATTTGTATGTATTTAGTTAATTTTATATTGTATGTAGAAAGAAAAGCATTAAGAGATGTTGTTGTTATAAACACATTTTATTCATAAGAAATGCTTTCCGTTTTTCTTATATTAAGTTCAAGTCTAGTTATTGACGATCTAAGATAAATGTAATGTCAAATGTCAGATGTCAAAAGAGACGAAGAAGGTTGTTCTATGTCTCTGATGTAGATGATAAAGAATGGTTGTCTCTGGTAATAATAATAATAATAATAATAATAATTAGAACGCTGTTTGCATATTCATTGTCTTTATTAAAAATAAACGTTATATAAGTGATCTACTGCGTATTAATATATTGAGCAATAATTACAACAGTAACATTTCCTTTTTTTCGTTGGGGTCTCGACATTATCAAACAATTACTGCGAAACGGAAATGAAATTGATAATTGTTGGTGAACATAGCAGGTAGAAAAATTCATTTATGAAGCAGCGTTGAACAAAAGATGTAATCGTCTTACCACAGCTTATACAATACAGCTCCACAACTCCGTGTCGGCGTCTTTGATCTGGCGGTCGAGAACCAAGCAAGACGGAATGGTGCTATCTCTGTTAGATTCGAGGGAAAAGTCGGGCCCGGATTAAACAATTTTTTTATTATTGAAAAAATTGAAAACCTTGGTGTAATAAGGTTGGTTACATGCCATTTTAAGTAAGTTTTGGGAAATTAAATTTTTAATTTGTTTTAAATCTGTCAAATATAATTAAAAAAATTATTTAAATATAAATATTACGAAAAATAGCACATCTTTTAGAGGTAAAATAATTTGTATGTGGCTAGTAAAATCCTCGTTAACAAATGTTTTGAGCTAAAACAGTCACTTCACGACAAATTGTGGCTTGGATCCTTTTTACACCAAGGGCTTCAATTGTTAAAGAATTTTGTCACGCTCGTAGATGCAAATCAAGTAGTAACCCGTGTGTCTGGCAAGTGTTACTCTTCGCGCAAAGGGTTTATACCTAGATAAACGAATGCTTCGACTAAGGTCTGGGAACTCTATGGTATTTTGGAATTATAAAGAATTTGTGCTTTTATTTTAACAATATTGGTTATATTTAGATGTATTCTTATTAATTGAAATACAGATTTGTAGAAGTAATACTTTGACAGTTTTTATTAATATACTCGTAATATATTCAATTTTTATCTGACCATACCGAAGTAGGGAATTTTGAAACTTTATAGTAATGTGAAATTTGAATTACAATATTACACGAAATTACATAAGTAGTACTTATTTTAGGTAGGTACTAAATTTGTACTTGGAGAAAGTAATATCGATTTTTACAAGAAAACTTGAAAAGTATATTAATTTAGTTCCTATTTCTGATGTAAAACTTAAACCAAGAAAACAAATGAATAGTAGTTAGTTCAACAAGAGTGGATATGACAGCCATATCACACAAAGACGAAGTTTGAGCACGACGTCGTAGGCGGAGTACTCAATCGTCTGATTGTGATATGAACAATCCACTCGATATGGTCAGTATATTTTTTCTACGACCCACTAACGAAAATCTACAAATTTAAAAAAATATTTTAGGTTATTTAGACAAAATAACTAATTTTAAAATAATTTACGAAGTTGACTAATTTATAAAATAAAATAAACATGAAAAATTAATTAGTCCTCGGCCTAGATTCGATCCCGGGCTTTTCGCGTGGAAGGCAGATGCTCTGTCCTCATCTTCACCGAAACTTTCAGGACTTTAATTTTAATACTCGTAATTAAATTAGTATCATGTAGTTTGATTAAAATTTTTTTTTTAATGTGGACACAATAAAAACAAAAATGCTATTATTTATCGAGTCTACACAAAAATTTTAATGTATATTTAATATCAATAACTAAAATATATATTGACAATTAGTTTAACAGAATTGTCACTTATTAAAAAATTTTTATATAATAGGAGTTGGGTGACCAAAATATAAACGTGATATGTAGATTTAATTTTATTAAACTGTTCTCACTACCTAAAATGGATATGAAATATATTTGTAGTTGAACGCAATAGCATACTTTTTTGTTTTGTAGCATGTGCATAGATTGGCTAATATCCATGCACAGATTACAAAACGAAGAAGTATGCTATTGCCTTCAATTGAACGAATATATTTCATATCCATTCTAGGTAGTGAGAACACTGCAAAAAAAATTCTCCAATCACCGTTCATATTTTGATCAACCGACTGCTATTATTTTTAAAATTTTAAATAAATGACAATTCTGTCAAACTAATTGTCAGTATATTTTTTAGTTATTGAGATTACACATACATTAAAATAGGTTATTCTTTTGGAAAACGTTAGCATGGATGACTAAAGGGTATTGGGTTAATTAATTCTAAAAGTGTGGTACAAATGTTATTTTTTGTAGCCAATTTTTCAAAATAATTTTGAAATATCTTTTCAATATTGAATATTAGTTCTACAAATTCATCATTTGACAGTTGCAGATTTCCAAATGTATCTGAATTGGCGTTATCATATGCCTTTAAAAAGCAATAAAAAGAAAAATCATCTAATTCAACGTGATCTTTGTTATATTTAAGACAGGTATCACAGGAGTGGATCCGCAAGGCTTTTATTAAAAGGTAACCACACACATACCTGTTAAATTTTTTCTGTAGCAACTCGTCTTTACAATAATTTAGGGTGTTAATAATTTCATCATAAAATAAAATACAAGGTGTTCCATTTAAAAAACATAAATTTTAATTTGCCAGGCAAAAACGTGACACCCTGTATATCCAAAGATATTTTTAAAATATGTAGGTATTTTTCAAATCCATATAACTTTTATTTAAAACTTTTTTGCGTGTCTACAACAAAATAATGAACAATAACGCACTAATGGGACACCCTGTATAAATTATATTTTTAACAATGAAAATTTCTTATAATGTGTTACTTATCGGTTTGGGTCCTTGGGAAAATAAAGAATGTTTTCTTGCAGGTATAACCCTTATTAAAACAGCTTTTGACTGCACAAACAGAATGATGTCTTTTTTTTCACTCATTCTACTCACAGCTAAAGAGTCACTAAAATAATAACAGTACCTTTAACTCAAACAAAATCAACGAAATTATAGGCTCCACGAAATTATACAATCAACGAAATTATACGCACGACTCAACACCTTACGTAAGTACACTTCTGAACGCCAAAACCATCTTTTCCCTCCGAAGGCGGAGCTTAAGCGATGCGCGACGAAATCGACGCAAACCGTTGCCGCCAAGAGAGTGTTTTAGCTATATTGTATAAGCTGTGGTCTTCCTATGAAGCTTAATTAATTCCTAAGATAAATATTTAAATACAAAATCATTTAATCTTACCTAATGATATACTTATATCAACATCTTCAGTACTCAAATTTTGTCTCACTTCTTTGTAAAAAAACTCAGGCTCTTTTTTGTAAATGTCAGCATGATTTAATACCTCAAGGTTAAGAGACCTTATGTTACCTTCGGGTAAATAGTAACTTTGCTTCACGTTGTTGTACAGAATAAGCTTCGCATTTGGGTCATTAACTTTGGACACTTCCGTGATATTAAATTGGCTCACCCACTCAGTGCCTATTGTTACACCGATTTGTAGAGGGTCAATATTATAATTTTCCTTCTCCTGAAACAAAAAATTAAACATATTTTAAAATATGTTTCAGAATTTTCTCAATATTGTAGACAGAAAAATAATCATTAGAAAGCAGCCAAATTAATGGAGAATTATTCAAATTACATAATAATACTTATAATCAGTGATGTGAATAAAACGTAGCAACTGTCAGTGGTCGCCAACCTGTCGATCGCGAGCTACCGGTAGCTCGCGGAGGCAATTCTGGTAGCTCTCACAACGATTTTAATTTAAAAAATACAAACTGCCAAAATCAGAGAAGCTTCCGAAAATTCCACAAAAAAATCTAATTGTCATAATATTAAACATAAACAGCGGCAACGTTGCGGTGAGCGATCTGCCGCTGACGCCATCAAGCTAAAATCGGCTAGAACCGACCAGCCGGACCAGCGCGTTAGTGTTCGAGAATGATCAGGATTGCTTTGAACAGGATAAATACACACGGCGCGGCGACATTGAGCTTAGTTTAAAACTGAACGCGTAACCAACGTCCAGCGGTTGGGTTAGTAGAGAACAACAAAAAATATTATTATGGTAAGCAGTTGTAAGAAGGTAAAGACATACCACTTTCATTCGGAATGGGAAGAACAATACTTTTTTACAGAAGTTCAAGATGAAAATGTGTGTTTGTTATGTAATACTTCGGTCTCCGTTGCTAAAAAAGGAAATATTGAGAGATATCATAAAACTGTATATTCTAATTTTGAAAAATCATTCTGCCGCCAGAAAGGAGAAACTGAAACAATTAAAAAAACAGTTAATTGGACAACAATCAATATTTTTAAGAACAGTCGACAAAAATAAGTCTGCAACTGAAGCATCTTACCGTGTGTCCCAGATAATTGCACAAAAAAAGAAACCTTATGAAGACGGGGAAATGATAAAACAGGCGTTTTTAGAAGCTGCTGATTCGTTATTTGCAAACTTTAGGAATAAAGACGAGACAGTTTCAGCTATAAAATCTATGCAACTTTCTGCTAATACTGTGATGAGACGTGTAGAAGTAATGAGCAATGATATTTTTTTACAGTTAAGAACTGACTTAGATAACTGTGTTTATTTTTCACTTCAACTTGATGAATCAACAGATGTCGTTGACACTGCCCAGATGGCCGTGTTCGTTAGGACGGTTTTTAGTGATTTTACGATTAAAGAAGATCTTTTGAAGTTTATTCCACTGAAAGGACACACTACTGGACATGAGTTGTTTTCTCATTTAAAAAATATTATTTCTTCCGAGAAAATTCCAATATCGAGAATGGTATGCTTGACAACCGATGGCGCTCCAGCTCTTGTGGGTTGTGATAAGGGTCTGGTGGCGTTATGTCGTAAAGATAAAACTTTTCCGCTATTTCTCTGTTACCACTACATTATCCATCAGCAAGCATTATGTGGAAATTTCCTGAAACTAAACAACATTGTGAAACTGGTGGTAAAAATGGTGAACAAGATTAGAGCTCAAGCGTTACAAAGAAGATTATTCAAAACCTTGGCCGATGAAGTTGACTGTCAATACGGGGACCTACTCCTTCACTCTGAAGTCCGATGGTTAAGTAGAGGACGGGCGCTGAAACGTTTTAATGATGTCCTATCTGGCATAGTTCAATTCTTCAAACAACGCGATAATCCGACTCTGGAACTAGAAAATTCAATCTGGCTTAGAGATTTTGGTTTTCTCGTGGACATTACAGAGAAATTAAATGAATTTCATTTGCAGCTTCAGGGGAGAGACAAAAAACTAGCGGAAATGATTTCTGATATAAAAGCATTTATCAAAAAGCTGGAGTTTTGGGAACAAAACCTAATTAACAGCGATGCCAAGCATTTTCCTATTCTTTCAGAAAAAATATCTCAGAATCCATTAGAACCCTATGACAGCAAATATCATGTAGAAATAGTTTCTACCCTGAAGAATAACTTCAAAAATTGTTTTAAGGATTTCAACGAAATGGCTTTAGTAGCGCAGTTTGTTGTTTCACCCTTTATGGAAATTGATATCCAACAGTTTGCAACTTGTGTTATGCAGAACTTTGGCGAAGACATCGCTGCAACAGAAATGGAAGTAATTGAGTTTCAAAATGATTTAGCCTTAAAATCGTTAGTCTCAAGTACCAAATGTATCTGGCCTATTGTAAGTAAAGACAAATATTCAGTTCTATGCTGTGTTGCCTTGAAAGTGAAAGCATTATTCAGTTCAACCTATTTGTGTGAATCTTCTTTTTCCAATATGAAGTTTATTGAGAACAAATATCGCAATCGACTTACAGATGAACATTTGGATAAATGTATTCGAATGGCTGTATCAAATTATACTGCAAATATTAAAAAAATTATCGATGAGTCTGAGTGTCAGCCTTCTCATTGAACGTGCTTTTTTATTTTTCAATGTTTATGTTCATGATAGTGCGTTACTTTTTTGTTGTTATTATTAACTATTTTTAAATCTTACGTGACATGCCGTTGTGGCTGGATAAAAGTTTGTGTTTATTTTTCAAACACCTTCGTTTGGTAGGTAGGAATGTAGCTATGAACAAGTACGTACTAGTAATATTAGTTATTTTGTTATTAGTTTATTATTAGTACCTATGTATTATCTATTACCAGTTAAATAGTAAAATAAATACATATAATGATAAATTAACTGTGGATTATTTCATTTACGTTGCGTTACGTGGCTTCCGTGTGGGTAGCTCGCTGTTTATTCCAAAATTAACAAAGTAGCTCAACACATTGAGAGGTTGGCGACCACTGATCTATGTGGTAGAATCTAGGATCCAGTAATAGCGTCAACTAAAATCGACGTGATTAAATAGATGCTAACACTAGGTAGTAGTTACTACTTGTATTCTTTCAGTTAGTTGATTGTTGTTTTTATTCTGACAAAAACATGTAGTCTTCTGAGAGTGAAGATGAGTTTGAAAAGAAGAGTGTGGACCGAGATTTGTTTGTGAAATTAATTAACGAACATCCAGTGCTACTGGAAAAATCTAGAATTCTAAAATTTTTTCAATATAAAAAGGAATAATGGGAAATAGTCTGTAAAGAATATTCTCAAGTGAACAAAATCGATGTTACCCCATCACAATTAAATAAAATGTTACAAAACATGAAAGCTAAAATTAAAAAGAAAACTGATACTAAAGCTACAGGAAACAAGAAAATAAAATTGAAAGATTGGGAGAAACAATTTTTGGCATTATTGGGTGCAAAAGAGAAGAATCTTGTTTTCACTAAAGTTCCAGGAGCAGTGACGTTAGGAAAATCATCAAAAAAAGACGACGGTTTCAAGCATACCAGTGGGGATGCCCATACTTCAAGTTCTTCACCTCAAATATCTGAAAATAGTAATGTAAAAGCAAATAAACCTAGCTATGTAAGACCAGGCATTAAAATTATGACGACATTTGAAACTGAAGAAACAAGAGATCTGTCAACATCTCAGCTGCAGAGAGTCGTTCTCTTACAACAATTTCAGCTGCAGAATATTCAAGGAAATAACGAGCTGGATACAATTATAATATTTTCGGATCTGCGTTAATAAAAAGAATTATTTGAATTTTTTTGTAATGTTATTGAAATATTTCTAAAAGAATTTTCAAACAGAAAATAAGTAATTAGAAAAATGCAAAGAAACAGAAAATTAATTTGATATTGTTGATTTGATCATTGGAAAGAGAAAAGAGAAAAAAGAAAATTAATAAGAAATTATTAATGAGAAAAGAAAAAATTTTTTTTTTAATTTTAATTTTTCTTTTCTCATTAATAATTTCTTTTTAACTTTCTTTTTTCTCTTTTCTCTTTCCAATGATCAAATCAACAATATCAAATTAATTTTCTATTTCTTTGCATTTTTCTAATTACTTATTTTCTGTTTGAAAATTCTTTTAGAAATATTTCAATAACATTACAAAAAAATTCAAATAATTCTTTTTATTAACGCAGATCCGAAAATATTATAATTGTATCCAGCTCGTTATTTCCTTCAAACAGCTTGAAAGTCAATGGCTTTTTGCACATAAATTTCGTATTTGAACACCGGTTTGTCAGTTTTAATGTAGAAATCGACGATGATGGATTTAAAAATTCCACTAATAAAATTTTCTCAGTCTTCAATTTTTAACCATAGTTGTTTTTTTTGTTTGAGCAAAATCATATTTTTCCAACAAAACTTCCTGTATTATTTAGAAATGTAATTTTTTTAGTAAATTTTATAATATTTCAGGAGCCTAAAAATAGCCTAAAACTGTGGTGTAGTTGTTTTTAGAAGCAAGCTTTAAAAAACCGGAGTGCTCTGCTGGATTCGTTCGAAGGCTAGCCAAGCACCCTTTGCTCCAATAAAGCACCCTGTATTATTTTAAAATGGCATTTTTTTTTGAAAATTTTATAATATTTTAGGAGCCTAAAAATAGCCTAAAAATGTGGTGTAGTTGTTTTTAAAAAAAAGCTTTAAAAAACCGAGGTGCTCTGCTGGATTCATTCGAAGCTAGCAAAGCACCCTCTGTATTCTTTAAAAAATACATTTTTTTTAAAGTTATATATTGTTTTAAGAGCCTAAAAATAGCTTAAAAATGTAGTATAACTAGTTTTCTGAAAAATAAATAATAAACTGAAGTGCTCTGCTGACTTTGCTCCAACAAAGCACCCTGTATTATTTAAAAATAGCAATTTTTTAGTAAAGTTTTATAATATTTTAAGAGCCTAAAAATAGCCTAAAAATGAGGTGTAGTTGTTTTTAGAAAAAAGCTTATAAAACCGAGATGCTCTGCTGGATTCGTTCGAAGCTAGCAAAGCACCCTGTATTCTTTAAAAAATACATTTTTTTGAAAAGTTACATATTGTTTTAAGAGCCTAAAAATAGCTTAAAAATGTAGCATAACTAGTTTTTTGAAAAAAAAAATAATAAACCGAGGTGCTCTGCTGACTTTGCTCCAACAAAGCACTCTGTATTATTTAAAAATAGCAATTTTTTAGTAAAGTTTTATAATATTTCAAGAGCCTAAAAATAGCCTAAAAATGTGGTGTAGCTTTAAAAAACCGAGGTGCTCTGTTAAATTCCTTCGAAGCTAGCAAAGCACCCTGTATTTTTTAAAAATAACATTTTTCGAAAAGTTTTATATTATTTTAAGAGCCTAAAAATAGCCTAAAAATATGGTGTCGTTGGTTTTGGAAAAAATCTTTAAAAAACTGAGGTGCTCTGCTGACTTCGTTCGAAGCTAGCAGAGCACCTTGATTTTTGCAAAAAACGAGGAGCATAAAATTTTTGAATAGGGTATAAAAATAGCCTTATAATAGCCTATAATAATTGTGTTTTTAACTTTAATTAATATTTTATTGGTCTATTATTTTAGTTGTATTCCTAATGTTTGTGTTCTGTTAATAAAGTATTTCTCTAATTTACTTATCCGAAATTAAATTAATTTTCACGGGAAATAATCTTCCCAAATATAACACGACCTTGATTAATACTCAATTGACTAAAGCTCTCGGGCTTTAATCAGATTATTAATACCAAAATTATGTCTCATCAAATTGATATTAAAATATTCTCGAAATTTAGACGCAACAAAAATAGCCGACTATTTATCAAGGTCTTGGTATATTACCCTTGATTATATTAATAATATAATGTTTATTTACATCAATAAAATTACAGTAATAAAAAAAAAAACAGTTTCAAAATACAGTGTGTCAATAAACATGTGACGACCACATAAGCGAACTTGTACGTGGCATGGATATTTTTTTTTATAGAATATTTAGACCAGGGCCGAAGCCTTCAAAAATGGTAAAAAATGAAAAAAAATTACAGTAGGATGAAACCCATTAGAAAATCAGGGGAATATGATCAAAATGAAAGGAAAAATAAATTACGGTCGATCCGAGTTCGGGAAGTGGGAGGGGGTGAGTTTTTAAGGGTGAAAAATTGTTTATCTTGATTTCCGGCAAAACTACAAGTCCTATGGAAAAAAGTTAAATGGCAAAATTGTAGGTCATAAAAAGATCTACAACTTTTGTATTTGCAATTTTTTCACATAACCTCAAAATTTAGGTGAAAAATTCAAAAAACCAAGTTTTTGGTTTTTTATTTATCTTTTTCAAAAAAAATTTTTTTCTACGAAATTTGGTGAAAACTTACATTATTATGTCTCAAATATACTGTAATTTATTTGATTAAAAATATTTATTTTTTCGCCTCATTTTAACATAATATCAAAAAAGCACCCTAATTTTCAATCGAAAATTCTGACGTCAAAATTTCAGCTTTTTTCAAAAAGTTTGGGGGCTTTTTGTTCGTTGAAATATCTACTTTCTGATGGTGTAAAAAAAAATATACATTACTATAGGAAATATTATTAGAAAATGCAAAAAATTGAAAAAACCTCAAATTCGAAAAATTTTTTTAATCACTATGTACAATTTTGAGGTATTTATTAAAATTTACACTTTAATTACTCAAAAAACGTAAGATTTCATGTTTTGTTGATAAACGAAAAAATTGCAAATTAAAATATACTTCTATAATTAACAAAGAAATAAGTTAATAAAGTTAATATTTAATAAGACATCTACAATATTTTGAAAAAGTTGTAGAATCTTCTTTAAATAATATTTGTAGATGCCTATTTATTGCTGTTTTAAGATAATTTATATACCTGAGTGACCTTCGGTGAATTTTAGCCCATTGTAAGTTATTTCATTGAGAAGTCGGGACGGACCTAGGAGGGTCTGGATTTGCCGGAAAAGGAAAGAAAAGTATCGTTAATTCTATATTAGACGCGAAAAATTTGTCAAATTTGGCCAATGTTTTTTACAAAAAAGATGAAAGTAAAGAAAATATAAAAAAAATGGATTACAATTAATTAAATCTATTTATAAATGTAAAAAAGAAAAACACTGAATCAATTAAGGTTTCAAAAATATCAATTGGCAAAAATTAAATCATCCTTCATTTTGGCAAACCTCCCACCCACAGAAGGAGCAGCAGAACAACATTGTTACAGAGCATATTATCAGCTTCAAACTTGGTTGGGTAACGAATTGACAGCAACAGATTGGGGCTGGAAGCAACATCAGCGTGGCATTATGCCCAAATTTACAGAAAAGGATTTAATTCCGGAAGTATTGCTCAAAACTATTTGCTGCAGCTGTGAAACTGGATGTAACAGTTTAAAATGTGGCTGCCGAAAACATGGTTTAAAATGCACAAATTTATGCACTAATTGTCATGGTTCTGAAAATTGCTCCAATATGGAAGAAAAAATCTACGAGGAAGTAAATGATTCAGATGAAATTGTGGATGAAGAACCAATGCAGACTTGAAATAACATTGGAGACGAAGATGATGGTCTTGAAGATTTCGACGATCAACTAGAGTTGGAAAGATTTGTCGAATCTGACGATGAAGAAATGCCTCCAAAGAGACAAAAACTAATGAATAACTGATTAGAATTTCAGATAAGGTATTTATAAATAACAAGATTAACGTTTTTTAAAAAAAATTTAACGAATAACGTAATCAGAATTAAGTTTCTAAATTCAATAGTACGATTTACATGTATATTTATTTTGTATGAGATTTTCTATGACATGAATGTAATTCGAGTAAAATAAATAAACTTTTTAACTAAAAAAAATTGCAGCAATCACATTTTTTTGATGAAATTGTACATAGTAATTAAAAAAATTTTCGAATTTGAGGTTTTTTCAATTTTTTGCATTTTCTAATAATATTTCCTATAGTAATGTATATTTTTTTTACACCATCAGAAAGTAGATATTTTAACGAACAAAAAGCCCCCAAACTTTTTGAAAAAAGCTGAAATTTTGACGTCAGAATTTTCGAT